AACTAACCCGAACTGAATAACCCGGAACCGAACCTAATTTGACCCAAAAACTGAAGAACCGAAATAGAACCGAACACTCGAAATGATCCGAACCGAATTGAACCCGAACCGAATGTATTCAGACCCGATTCAGATCCGAATCTGATTTAATCCGAACCGATTAAACCCGAACCGATAAAAACCGAACCCGGTTAAACCCGGAACCGATTAGACCCAAAATTGATTAAATTTTATCTACGTCTGTGTTAAATAATAAAATAACTACGGAGTATATCATAAATTGATTAAATTTATTATGTGATATTATTGATTTATTAGTAAATATTTAAAATTTATCTGAACTAATATAAACCTAAATCGATACAAACCCGAATCGATAGAAACTCGAACCGATACAAACCCGAACCGATACAAACCCGACCCGATATAAACCCGATCCGATACAAACCCGAACCGATACAAACCCAAACCGAACCGAAACCGAAAACCAGTCAAACCGAAATAAACCCGAAACCGAACTAACATGAACCAAACCGACCCGAACCGATTATAACATATATCCGAATGAGACCCGAACCGACAAGACCCGAACCGGAACCGAACCGATTGACCCGATTGCCAGGTCTATGTGTACTTGTAATCATTAATCAATCAATAATACCATCCCTAGTTTCCCCCGTGGATGTAGGTCAGATTAGACCGAACCACGTTAAATCTCTTGCTTTCTATTCATGTGTGTGTGCCTTTGTTCCTAACACATGTTTGGCCTTAGCTTCTCATGAATGGGAAGGACTTTATTTTGAAAAACAAGACAAGATGGAATACTTTTGGATGTTTGGGAGTGAGTTGGGCTTGAAGAATTTTGGCCTAGGGAGGGTTTTGGATTAGGAGGGTAATGGTTTGGGCTTTTGGAATGGGAAAGGTAATGAATTCAACCCAAAAAGTATCATAACACTTAGATATTAACCCATTGATTTGTTTAGTTACTTGTGGCGTGAGCCCAAGCTTGATAGGGGCATCCCGGGATATATCAATTTGGCTATCCCGGGATATATCAATTTGGCTATTCTCCTCTGCTTTCTTTTGATTCCTTCGTTTTGGCTCAGGCTTTATTCATTTGTATTCAGCACAAATGCTACCAAACTATGCATTCAAAAACAGAGGAAACCTTTATTTTTCTTGGATTGGTTATATTTTTATCAAAAGATTTACATATTGAAAATCAGATTTACAGTCTTTTAGTTATTTTCTACTAAAAGTAATAATTTTTCATCGTTTCTCTCACTGATTATCTTTTTTATATTAGATGTGCTACATATTTACAAGAACCAGCTACAACAGTATGCTCAGAAGCAGGGGATCACACTTCCTGAATATTCTTGTGAAACTGAAGGACCACCACATTATCTCCGCTTTAAATCAAAAGTTGCTTTGGCTGGAAAAGTTTATGAAAGTCCACAATTCTTCCGTACATTGAAAGAAGCTGAACAAGCAGCAGCGAAAGTTGCTCTGGAGGCATTATCACCCAATGAAACTCAAAAGGCCAGTCTCCTTAATTTATTTACATAAACATTTATCAGTTTATGTTAATCTGCTTTACCTATTGGTTTCACGTTTCCTTTATTCAATCAATGATAAAATATTGTTCTCTGCCACCCGAATGGATTTCAGGATGGGGGTCTGTACAAGATTCTTTTGCAACAACTTGCACAAAAACTGGGCTTCCTTCGTCCTGTGTATAGAACAATCCAGTGTGGTCCACCTCATGCTGCTTCTTTTATGTCTACTGTGCAAGTTGGTCAAGAAACATATGAAGGACAAGCAGCTAAGAACAAGAAACAAGCTATCTCAAATGCTGCCGAGGTTGCTTATAATACTTTGATAAATTGTAAGCCTCATTTCCATTCCTTGCTAGTCATTTTTCTTTTCGTTCACATAGTAGTTACCCTGGGGTTCTCTTCTCTCAAAGACACAACACACTCACAGGCAAAATAAGAAAAAAGAAGAAGAGAAATACAAATATATGAATCTTGTTTATTTATCAGGAAATGAACTCAAAGTAGTCTGTCACTGTGTCATGGATTCTACTGCACAGTAGTCAGTCAAAGAACTCATAATTATTCCTTTTACCCATTGGTGCAGATAGATGTACCTAGGGGCAGAAAACATCAACTACACATGGCACACATATACTGCATTTTCCAACCAATCATAGTCTCTCTTTATGTTAATAGGTACAGATCTTGTAAGTTCAAAGATGCAGAAAGCATCAGCTACACCTGGCATGCTGACATCTATGAATCGTCCATCACTAGATAATATATGTTTTGTTCCAACGCCATTCGAGCATTCTGCTACTTCTGCTTTACAGTCTGATCTTATTAGGAGTTCATCAGTGGAGTCCAGCGGCAAGGAAACTGATAAGCCTGTGGTTTCACAGTGCAATTCAAATGCTTCTGTTTTGCCTTATGATGCCCAGGCCTTACCTGATAACCTATCCTCTACTCCATCAAGACTTCAGCATTTAACTAGGCTTACTGAGGAGTTTAGTCTCAACACACCAGCTACGCGGAACATGGTTTTAGTTTACCCGCGTGGGTCAGAAGTAGTTGTCCCTAATAATGCTTCTATGTTGCCATGTAGTGATAATGAGTGGGTGGCTCTTGAAGTAGTCCGTAACGCTAATTAAGGCTGTGTTCTCTACGTCTTAACTTATTGATTCTGATTTGAATTTGTTAAGGCTGATTTAATGGATCTGATTTGATTTGATTGTAGTGTAATTTATAGTTGTTGATCTGAATTGATGATAAGCGCAAGTAATAAGGAGAATAATAGTTGGAGAGAACATGGACTAAGTGCATACATGTGTGACATCCACATTGTGTAGCATAATTTCAACCGGTGTAATTGCAATTGTGACAATGTCCTCTTGAGTATGATACGGAGTATTAAATATATTGACAATTCAATTCTCTTATGGCTTGTTTGGTAATTGGGATTTGGATTTCAAATTTAGATGTACATCAAATTTCATGCTTGAGAATCCTATAAATTTGGATTTGTACTTGGGCAATATTCTTCTAACTTATAGTAAGGCTTAAATATAAATTTATATACCTCTCACTTATTGTCATTTGAAATCTAAGAATTCAAAATTTGGAATTGAAATTCAAGATTTCAAATGAGACCTTAATTTCCAAACAATACCTTAGTTATTTTTGGCCTGTCATGGATGTCTTCTTCTGGTCATTAATGCATTTGTATATTTACTGAATAATGTTCCATATATGGGATATTCGTTGATTATTACCAGAGTAGTCATTTTTTGGACAAAAAATTACCGGAGTTGACGCAAGTTCTTTTTGATATGTGAAATTAGTGTTTGAAGTTTCACTGAGAAAATTCAAACCTTGCCAACAACCCTCCTCAAGTTTCACGCAAGTTCAAAACAAAGGACATGACAAAAGCAAACAACCCTTGCCAACAACCCTCTTCAAGAATTTAACCCCCACTAACTTGTTTGGCTTCATTGAGAAGATTCAAACCAGGTTTGGCAAACAACCCTTGCCAATAAGTAACGAGATTTTGCAACGGCTATCTCGACCGCTTACAACCAAAGATTTAAAAGCTATCTTCAACCTAAAACACAATGAGGATTTAAAGGCTATCCACACCTTTTACAAAATAAGAGAAATATGGTGTTGTTTCTCTACCAAATAATGAACAACTTGAATTGGGTAGGAGAAGAACAAAATATGAAATCAACAACAACAATAGCCTATGGGCCAGATATAAAATAATGAAGCACAGATACCCTTGTGTGAGAGTGTATCAAAATAATGAAAGCTTGAACTCAAAAGAGTAATGAAAAATTAAGAACAAAGCTTAAGAACACTCAAAAGTAGTAGAAATAGGCTTTAGAATGATATGAGATCTTGTTGTATGAAAAATGAAACTTAATAGGGATTTATATAGATTTAGGGAAGGTTTAAAATGCTTAAGCGCCGTTGAAGAGTGATTAGGAGATAATTAAATTAAAAATCAGCAATCAGCTACAGTACTCCAAGGGTACCAGTGCCTATTACGGTAGCGAGGTGCCATGCTAGTAGCATGGTACCATCTCACACAGTATGAGGTGCCTTGTAGGATACCGTGTCAAGTTATTTTCGCTCAAGCGGAACATGCACCTAACCGGTACCTGGTCTGATCCTATGGTACTGTGACGGTACCTAGGTACCGTACCAACGGTAGGGTGGCATCGTTTAGCCTGAACCAAATTTCAAAACAACTTTTTGACCCTTTTTCAAAATAACGCCAACTAAGATGTGTTTGGAAAAGTTTAGAAAAGTTATTTTAAGTGTAAGGGAATAAGTGAATCATTATAAATATCAAAACTCTTACATTTTCATTTTCTACGTTCATAGGAGTATCTTCTTGATGAGGCAAATCAAGTTAGGAGAGGTTAGCGATTTGATTTCTACTGCAAAAATATTAGTACCTTTGGAAGACTTATTTGGAACATCAAAACGGATACAGGCTTGGCATTCATGGCCAACAACCTCTCCCTTTTTGATGTTGACAAATAAGGCTTTCAAACATCATAAACAAACGCACAATCATAACTTAAAAAGCATATTTGATTTTTTGAAAAACCCCCCCAGGTTTATGCACTTAAGTTTCTCACAAAAACTCCCCCTAAATACATGTATTTGAAAGCCTAATACTTCTCCCCATTTTGGCAACATTCAAAAAGAAGGGGTAAGAAGAACATATCATAAGTAGGCATTCATCACAAGACAATAATATCGCATAAGCATACCATGCAAGCATGTCACATAAACTCCAAATGTGATAAAAGTTTAAAAAGCACATAACAAATGTTTGATCAATTGCCAATGCTCAAGCCACTATCAATGCATAGAGATTTTGTATTTCGTTGGTCTTTTGGAAGTTCTCACAGTCTTCCATCTTCTTTAACCTAGCCCAGAGACCTTCAAGACTATCTTGTATCTTCTTAATTGGCTCAACGACATTCTTCATAAGGAGTACCTATAAGAAGAAGCCTTTTAAGAATGATGGCACATAAGCTTGGAGGAAGATGTAAGAGAAGCGAACTTGGAGCGCTTGAGCTTCATAGGAGCTTGAATGGAAACCTCTTCTTCGTCATCGGCACGGGGGTTTTGAGAGCTAGATCCACATCAAGGTGGAAGAGCCGACATCGAGCGTCGTGGTCCATACTCCGCTTAAGTATCTGTGTGAAGATCTTGAAACTCGCGCTTCATGTAGTACGTCTCTCCAATCTTGACAAGGCCGCAATAGCCTAGGCACTCTGCATCAAGATAATGGACACAAAAAGGACGGGGCTCAAGAATGCCGTGGTGAGCGACGATGTGGGTGAGCATCATCCCATAGGGATTCTTAAGACGGGATTTGCATTCTTGCATGTGTGACATGATTATGGAGGGAGTGTTTATTTTGTTTCGGGTAAGAAGAAAATACATGAGAGTGCATTCAAGGACGCCAACAAGTTTGTGTTGGGAAACGAGGCTTGGATAACGCAGCGGAAAACAAAAATTTATAGTCCAAAACTCGATTCCACCCAAGAACAACTTACGTAAATTACTAGCTATAGTAAGAAATTTACCTTAACGGTGAAAACGAAGAACGGAGGAACGGTCGGGGATGGTTTTGAGGAGATGAACGTAGCGCCAAACGTATGAAGCCTCCAACGTATCCACACGAACTTGCTCCGGAGTCCAAGATTAAACTTGTGCTAGCAAGTTTAATATAGGATAGTAAAAACTATAATAATACTACTTTGGGAGTAATAAATATATAGTAAAATATTTATCTTATAAATATTTGTTTATAATATTTTGTGTATATTTCTAACACTTTAGAAAAATAACTTTGAACACAAAATATAATTTTCTTCTCTCTAAAATTGGGATGGCTCAAAAATCACCTATCATATGGGGTGGGATTTATTTCTCATTTTATAATAAACAACTTAAATGAATTTCTAGGAAATAGCTTAGGGACAAAACAAATTAGGATTAATGTAATGTCCCCAACCAACACAACAAG